TTTTTTTTTTTTATTCCAGTCTGTGTCTGTCTGTTGCTGTCTTTCTTTTTCTTATTCTCATTCTCTCTCTCTCTCTCTCACACACACACCCGCCTCTCTCATCAGCGAAGAAAGATTTCTAATGAGTAATGCTTATGAAATGAAGAGAAGCAATTATATAATCATTTAAGAGCAAATGATCTAGATTTTGCTTACTTGAGATACGGATTGATGAGCAGAAGGAAAAAAACATAGTTTTTGTATTTGAGCATATTTGAGTATCCTATTTTTGTGACATATTTCTAAAATAGATTGTAATATTAGCACTCCTAGTAGCAAAGAGAGCATTCCCTTTAACAGAAGTTTTCTCAGTATAATGGTCCTCTCTCGGGGAAAAATTTCTGGGAGCAGAAATAACTGAGCCTCACCCTGCCTTCCACATGAATGAGTGTTCCACTTCCTATTCTGGGCAAATGAAAACTCGTGCTTAGTAGTAAAGGCGTGGTCACTACATGGAGTGAAGTAGTCACATTCCCTGCATGTATATAACATGGAGTGACAAGGAATCTAAGAACCTGTGCTGGGTTTACCTAGACAGAAAATAATCCTTTTCTACTTCCCTGACCCTTGTTAATATGGACATGGTGTTAGAACAACAGTCGTCTAACTAAAGATAATCATTTTAGATTCAAAATTGAAAAATGTAAAGGTTTCTGTTTATAAAATGGATCTTTTCTCTGGGTCTGAGAATCACTAATAAATAAATGTCATCGAGCTGTGAAGTTTGTGGGTGTTGGTTTTAACGTGCATTTTTCTGGTCTTTTTTCAGCTTGTTTTAAAAATAGATGACATATTTGAATCTAAGAGAGGGAAGAAGAGGGTGAAGTTACACCCCTATCCTGGAAAGGAAGTAGTGCCTCCTGCAAAAGGTAAGAATTACGGTTTTTTAATTTCAAAATATTAAGGGAGAAATAACATTAAGGGGGTACAAATGTTTCTGTTATGCGCCTACCTTTCAAAAGGCTTAAGTCAGAGCTTTTAATGTGCCCATCACCAGAATAGCGTTCATTGTACCCCATAGGTAAGTTTTTACCCATTAACCTCTTCCTACCCCGCTCCCTGCTTGGTTTCTAATGTCCTTTACATCTCTTTGTGCCCACCTGCTGAGCTCCCAGTCACAATTCATGAGCACATATGGTGTTTGTTCTTCCAAAGAATTATATTCTGTTCATCCATCTGTAGCTGTCAGTGTATAAGGGGAGAATCATTATATAACTTAATATTTCATGTGCATTATAATTTTGGTTTACTTTCCTGTCCATCCAACTTAAGTATAAACTTCTTTAGGAAAGGGACAATTTTTCAAATCCCTTTTATTTAATTCTGTGCCAGGTAATAATTATTGGATGAATAGATACATGAAAAAATAATTATAATGATACTAATTTTTACAGGCAGATTGAATCATTTGGTAGTCCTGCTTTGTTTTATAGTTATTTGTCAGTATGGACGCTTTCTGTGAAAAATGAAAACATTATAGGCTGGGCGAAGTGGCTCACGCCTGTAATCCTAGCACTTGGGAGGCCAAGGTGGATGGATCACCTGAGCTTAGGAGTTCAAGACCAGCTGAGCAAAAGCCAGACCCCGATCTCTACTAGAAATAGAAAAACTAACCAGGCATCGTGGAAGGCACCGGTAGTCTCAGCTGTTCGAGAGGCTGAGGCAAGGGAACCATTTGAGCTCAAAAGTTTGAGGTTTCTGTGAGCTTTGACACCATGACACTCTACCGAGGGTGACAAAGTGAGATTCTGTCTCAAAAAAAAAAAAAGCTTAGTTAATGTATTTCGGAGCTCTTTTAATATGTGTATCATACTAACGCTAATACTATGTGTTTATCAACACATAAATCCATATAGCTGTACTTACGTACAGCAGATGTAAAATAATTTTATTTAGCTAGTTGACAGTTTCATTGTTTCTCCCATTTTATTTAACCTGAGGATATTTGGGGGGGGGGGGTGTTTGTGTGTACATACATATCTTCAAACAGTGCCGCAGTATGCTTTCTTTCACTTATATTTCTGTATATTTGTAAGAATATACTGTAGAATAAGTTTCTAGCAGTGGACCTACTTGACCAAAGAACATACATATTTAAAAAAAATTTTTTTTGAGACAGAGTCTCATTTTGTCACCCTCAGTAGAGTGCTGTGGCATCATAGCTCGCAGCAACCTCAAACTCTTGGGCTTAAGCCATTCTCTTGCCTCAGCCTCCCGAGTAGCTGGGACTACAGGTGCCTGCTACAACATCTGGTCATTTTTCTTGTTGTTGTTGTTGCAGCTGTCATTGTTATTTAGCAGGCCTGGGCCAGGTTTGAACCTGTCAACCTGGGTCGATGTGGCTGGTGCCCTACCCACTGAGCTATGGGCACTACCCTTAAAATTTGTATGGTTGTAGCCAAATTGTCCCACAAGCAGATTGTAACAGTTTACATTTCTACAAATAGCATTTGAAAATGCCTCTTTCCCCATAATCACCAATAATTATGTTGTTGTTGTTTTGAGACAGAGTCTCACTCTCTTGCACCCAGTAGAATACCATGGCATCATAGCTCACAACCTCAAACTCTTAGGCTCAAGTGATTCTCTTGTCTTAGCCTCCCAAGAAGCTGGGACTATATGCATCCCACACAACGCCCAGCTATTTTTTAGAGATGGGGTCTTGCTTTTGCTCAGGCTGGTCTTAAACTTTTGAGCTCAGGTGATCCACCCACCTCGTCCTCCCAGAGTACTAGGATTACAGGGGTGAGCCACCATGCCCCAATAATTATGTTGTATTAAAGCTTTTTCTTTTGCCAGTATCATCGTTGAAAATTTATACCTTATCCCCAGCCCGGGCCCGCCAAACAACAATGATGGCTGCAACCAAAAAATGGCCAGGCGTTGTGGCGGGCGCCTGTAGTCCCAGCTACTTGGGAGGCTGAGGCAGGAGGCTCGCTTGAGCCCAGGAGTTGGAGGTTGCTGTGAGCGTGATGCCATGGCACTCTATCCAGGGGGATAGCTTGAGGCTCTGTCTCAAAAAAAAAAAAAAAAAGAAAATTTATACCTTATTTATTATTTTACTTCACATCTCTTTCCTTTTGAACCTTCATTTTCATGTTTATCAATAATTTATAAATCTTTTTCTAATTATTGCCTATTCCCACACTTTTTTCCTTTATCTGTTGTGCTATATATTTTTTTGATTTGTAAGAGTTATTTGAATATTAAGAAACTTAGCCTTGTATCTGCAATGTGCTTACAAATATTTTCTCAGTTTATTCACTTTTGAGTTTACTAACGATTTTTTATTAGTTATAATTTTACATAATCAAACTTATACATCTTTTCATTTATGACTTCTGGGCTTTTTTTTCCTGATACATTTATAGATTATTCCTTTCTACGTACTTTTCTTAATTTGCTTTAACTTTTCAGACAGTCTAGAAAGTTTTCATTCATTTATTCAAAAAGCTTCTTTTCTTTTATGAATTGTCTTTATGCTCAAAATTGTGATACAAGGGGCCGATGGCTCAGTGGGTAGGGCGCCAGCCCCATATACTGAGGGTGGCAGGTTCAAACTCCACCCTGGACAACTGCAGCAAAAAATAGCCGGGCGTTGCAGCAGACACCTATAGTCCCAGCTACTCAGGAAGCTGAGGCAGGAGAATCACCTAAGCCTAGGGGTTGGAGGTTGCTGTGAGCTGTGATGCCTGGCACTCTACTGAGGGTGATAAAGTGAGACCCTATCTCTACAAAAAAAAAAAAATTGTGATACAAAACACTCCCTTGTGAAAGCAACAGAGCCCCTTATCCTGAAGATACTTAAAGTGTGATTGGGGAAAATAAGAACAATTCAAAGCAATCTGAATACTCTAAGAATTCAGAGTAAAAGAAAAATGAATATAGGCTTAGGGCATTGTAGACAATGTAGACTTAATTATTTGGTAATGTCTTTCCTAGTTCCCACATTTTCCTATTATTCTAAATTCATAGTCTGGCTGGTGTTTGTAGTTCTGTTTAGCCTGCTTGGTGTTCTACTTTTGACACTTTATTGGGGAATACGAATGCAGACCAAGATGTGGATATGGAAATAGAATCTATTCTGACCTAGACTTCTTAAAATTAGTCTGAAGTACCAGCCTGAGCAAGAGCGAGACCACATCTCTACTAAAAATAGAGAAACTGAGGCAAGAGACTCACTTGAGGCTAAGCATTGGAGGCTGCTGTGAGCTATGACACCACAGCACTCTACCCAGGGCAACAGCTTGAAATTCTGTCTCCAAAAAAAAGAAAAGTTAGTCTGAAGTGCTGTTAACTGTGGAACCAGGGGTGGAGGAAGAGCTGAGGAGTGAGGTAGGGATGGAAGAAGATGTAATAGTTTCTTTTCTGAGCCTTCTAGTCTCTTTCTGTAATTGTTCTAAACTGATATAACTACTGGTTTGGAGAAGGGCTCAGCATCTTCGCTCTTCCTTACTCCAATACGTGGCCCTGCGGGGTTTTACACTGTGCTCATCCTCACATGCTTCCTCCTGTTGGACAATGCAAATGGAAACTCCTTCTCTCTTTTCAGGTGAAACTAGTGGGAACGAAAGTGATGCCGAGTATCTGCCAAAGAGTGAGTGAGTCACTGGGGCTGCTTCCCTCCGTGTGATGATCCCTGTGATAGGTGGAGCCGCACTACCTTTGTGATTAACCATCTTTCTCCCGACATGGTGTTTCGTTTTGTTGGTGATTTCTTCATGTTCAGAACCTGAGATATTTGGGGAACTAAAAAGTACACTGTCAAGATGTTTGACAGCATTAAAAATCTCCCATAGTAGAGGGAGACAAACCGGCACGGTTCTTAGGATGGAATGTTCTTAGGGGAGCGGCACAGAGCTACGTGTCCAGACATATACACAGCAGTTTCCCAACAGCCAAAACAGAGTGTGTGAATCATCTCTGAGGCAAACACTGGCATTAAATATCTGATTTTTCACAGTCACTAAAGTATAATTATTCAAGTAACTTTGATATCTCTGATATTTAGAAAAGAAAGAGATTCTTTTCTATTCGTTAGGCATTTATATTCCAAATTATTGTACTGTTGTTTACTTTCCATTAGAATATTGGCTATACCATGCATTTCTGCCTATATTTGTCCAAGCACGTCATGGTACCCTGCATCCTTTATTTAATGAATCGTCACAGCAAGTTACCTAGTTTCTGTTTAACTGACTGACATACCTAGACATGGAAAAAGGCATGACTTGTAAAAGCTGAGTACAGATTAATTCCAAGTCTGACACTCTAATCTTTTTATTTATTTATTTATTTTTGAGATAGAAGTCTCCCTTTGTCACCCTGGCATCATAGCTCACGGCAACTTCAGACTCCTGGGCTCAAGGGATTCTCTTGCCTCAACCTCCTGAGTAGCTGGGACTACAGGTGCCCATCACAATGCCTGGCTATTTTTAAAGATGAGGTCTCAAACTGATGAGGTCAGGCAATCTACCTGCCTGGGCCTCCCAGAGTGCTGGGATTACAGGCATGAGCCACCATGCCCGGCCTTGACACTCTAATCTTACGATTAATAGTCTTGTGCTCCTTCCACTGGCCTAAATTGATTCAAGTCTGGTATTTGATGCTGTAGCCTGATTGAAGGTGAAACTTAAATCATCATCAGATTCAACCTAGATGTGTAAAGATGACTAATTTAGTGCTGTTGCTACTAAGAAACAGGCCCTGAAATTTTTGACTTGAGCTCAGCCCTTTGTTTTTTGTTTCTTGCTTTTTTTTTTTTTTTTTTTTAGACCGAGTCTCAGTCTGTTGCCTGGGCTAGAGTGCAGTGGCATCAGCCCAGCTCACAGCAACCTCAAACTCCTGGACTCAGGTGATCCTCCTACCTCAGCCTCTCACCACAACGCCTGGCTAGTTTTTTTATTTTTAGAAGAGATGGGTCTCACTTTGCTCAGGCTGGGAACTCAGCCCTTTGAGTAAGTAAAGCTTTACCTGGAGTACTAAATGTAATTTTGGGGAGCCACTCCTAGATGTATTTTTTTAAGTGCTCTTAATAGTCTGATCAATCAGGCAATTTCTTTCCTGCCAGAATGCATCGTATCTCACAAAGAAAAGAAAAGTAAAGGGCGGCGGCCCCATATACCGAGGGTGATGGGTTCAAACATGTCCCCAGCCAAACTGCAACAAAAAATTGCCGGGCGTTGTGGTCCCAGCTGTTCAGGAGGCTGAGGCAAGAGAATCGCCTAAGCCTAAGAGCTGGAGGTTGCTGTGAGCTGTGACACCATAACACTCTACCGAGGGCAACAAAGTAAGACTCTGTCTCTAAAACAAAACAAAACAAAACAAAAGTAGAGGATGAGTCTTTCTATCAGTGGCTCACATCTCTGGGACACTAGACTCTTTTTTTCCTCTAAGTATACAATTTCCCCTAGTAGAGATTATCCCCAAATTTTCAGAATTTAGAGATAACTGAAAATCCAAGTTAGATGCTACCCAGTTTTGATTGATATTGCTATGGGTTTTTAACTAGTATGCATTCATAATTTTATTCTTTTGAGGAATAGTCTACAAATAGATGTCTTCTGGCCAGGGTCAGTAGCTCACACCTGTAATTCTAGCACTCTGGAAGGCTGAGGTGGGTGAATTGCTTGAGCTCCGGAGTTCGAGACCAGCCTGAGCAAGAGCAAGACCCTGTCTCTAAAGAAATAACCAGGCATTGTGCGGAGCGCCTGTAGTCCCATCTACCCAGGAGGCTGAGGCAAAAGGATTGCTTGAGCCATAGAGTTTGAGGTTTCTGTGAGCCATAGCACTCTACCAACGATGACAGAGTGAAATTGTCTCAAAAGAAAAAATAGATGTCTTCTTTCCTCTTGATATTTATTGATATAAGCATATATTCATTATCTTGAAGAAAAGGAAAAAGGACAGAAGATAATTTTTGTTTTAATTTTTTGAATTTATCCCTTTCTGCACTTACTCTCTGTAGGCCTCAATT